TAGTAGAAGCTTCTCGGCTCACGGTTGCGTGGGCGATGCCGAAAACCTGAGGCTCTGCTTCCTAACTGTAAGTTCGCTAGCAGGCCCGAAGTCTCCAAAGGAAACACAGCTGGTGACAGCGGGGCGGGGTCACCATGATATGGCTGCCGATTGCTCTCAGTGCCCGTTTTCTTCTGAGCCTGAGCCTGGCTTCCTTGGATTTCAGCATGGCTGTAATAAAATCCACAACTGGCAGCTTTCAGCTAGACCGAATGCTTGCTCCTACTGTATCCAGCGTGCAGCCAGCCTACGAGATGAAGATGATGTTCGACGGAACTTTCTGCGAATGGTGCTGTTGGGCATGTACGACAGAGCTGGAGGCTACAAGCAGCACCACCGCTACTTTGATGAATTTGAACGTCGCTGGGCGGGACATGATCCAGAGCAGATCTTGGATGCTGCTAGCGTCTCCCTGTATGCTCCCGACCTTGAGCCTATTCGAAAGTGGTGCAAACATGTGCACCCTGAACTGGCACACAACTTATGGGTGCCGTGGACTATTGGCAAGATTTGCTGCTGTCCGCTGGCCTTGCACACCCTCGACTAGCCATGTGCCCAGTCAACGGCTCCATTCTTGCACTAAACATGTCCCTGAACGCATTTGTCTAGGTAGGCACCTTAGAGTTCGGCGGCTCAGACCTCAGGCCAGGCGCCGCCCCAGGTATAGGCGACCTCGTAGGCAGCACCCACCCCGGAGACGACAGGTCTTCAACTGGATTGGCACCATGCTGGCCAACCAGCACGGGTGGCTGACACTGTGCGCCCATCGGCTTGCCGTTCTTCACCGTGATGCTCTGTTACTGCAAGTTGTTGTGCCACTGTTGCGCTTTTCTACCAGTAGGAATGCACATGCTCAAGCATTATGGAATTCTGAAGATTCATGTGCTCCCAGACGCCCACATCAGGCGAAAGCCCCACCCTGTAGCCTCTTTTGGTTTAGGCCTCTTGCCCTCGGGAGCTCTTTCCCTGGACCATGCCTTGCACTCAGGGTTAGTCTAAGCCTGCCTTGTAGTACGCCCCCCATGGATCCCTTGCACGACGATCTTCTGGAAGAGGCTCTTGCAGACAGGGGTCCTGGAGATGAGGAGCGAGTGGATCCTGAGGATGATGACTCCAATGCCGGGACCGAATTCTCGACACTCACGGCGGCCTTAGAGGCGGATGAGGCTGCGGAACCGGTGCCCTTTGATCCTAATGCTCCACCGGCTGGACCGCCAGCCCCGGTGCCTCTCTGGATCTATCATGATGACCCTGCCCGCCCACCGACGCCGCTCTCGCCAGTGCCACCCATGCCCTCAGGTCCGATGCCTTGTCCAGCTCGCACCATTGGGTCCATGCCAGGGGAACACAGTGCGGACGGACCGGCCTGGCACCGGTCTCTGGTGCAGAATGTGCTGCAGCACCTAGGGTGCTCGGCTCCTGCCTTCCTGACAGCACCCCCGACCCTGGCTGAGGTCCACTCCTGGAATGCCCTCCGTATCAGCATCTCCGAGGCTGGGCCGGCAGACTACCTCCAAGGCCTTCCGATTGAGATTCAGGATGCAGACAGCACCTTGTTCCGGGGCGCAAATGTGGAGGACACAGGCAAGGGGGGCGAGGACGCCGGGCCAGGGGAGAATGCCGAGTCTGAAGAACATGAACATGACTCGCCCCTCTCCCCACCAGACAGCGAAGATGATGGTGCTGGTGATGCGGGTGCCTCTGGCACAAGTTGGGCTGGACTACCCCAGGCCAGCAGCAGCAGCCGACCACGTCCCAGATCATCCTCAAGGTCGAGGTCACCACAGGGGACTTCCAGTGGGCCAAGGACTTCTTTGCTGAGCTCGGGTAATCCGGTTGAGGCCGTGGCGGAGCTGGACTCAGGCGATCCACTACATATGACCCATCAGGTCACGGCCGACACGGCGTTCGAGAACCCTTTTTCCACGAGGCCTGGAGATTGGGTTTATGAAGCAGAGGACGTGTCCTTTAACCTGAGTGCGGCCCATCGCTGCTTGGAAGAGACCAGGCGCACCGTCGCGGCATTAAGAGAAGGCAACAGGCACAGAAGATCTGCTGCTACCAACCCGGGTTCAGGAGAGCCAGCCAGTGGGAGCCGTCGGCCCTCTACGCCTGCCATCTCCCCACCGAGGTCGAGCTCTAGTCCTGGAACAGCCTCTCGCTCAAGATCCAGAAGGCGTCGTAGAACGCCACCCGCAGACAGGTGGGGAGGTTGGAAAACAAAGCAGAGATACGAACTTGTGCAGCTGCCTCTAGCTGGCACCGTGTCATCTAGGCTCCGTCGGTGTCATGCAGCACACACATGCCAAGGTGAACCAGCGTCCTGCCTGCCAACAGCGCTGCTCATGATAGGGCGCTCTGTGCTGAGTCAGTGCTCAAAGCACCGACCACGGTGGTGGTCGCCTGTGCTAGCCTTGCCAGATTGTTCTGCAGACCACCCGCTTACAAGGGTCGGACCTGAGACTCTTCCGAGCATGTGTGCCGAAAACGTCCGGTTGAGCCTGCAGCTGACTGCTCTGCTTAGTACACTCTGTCGGTGTGTTGGATGCGCTACGCTGGCCCTCGGCCTGTTACTCAAAGTGCTGGCTTGCATGCACCGACATCTCAGTCCGACACACAGGTACCGATGCCCAGCTTGTTCCGCACCCTGGGTGCCCGTGGCCCGTGAGGCCTGGTCTGGTTACCTGTGGGGTTCCCTCTGGAGCACCCCTTGCCTTACACACAGGCTCAGCGAGGATGTCTCTCCTTGCCTCCAGGCGCCTGATACAGTTCCCCTGGTCTTTCGCTTGAGTGTCGCATCATTTTCTCCCAGCTTGCACCCAGGTCCTGCAACAGCTTCAGCAAGCCCGTTTGCTACTACCAAGAGCCGCCCGGGTCCCAAATCCCGGGGCTTGACGATCCGTTGCATGCAGCACCTCATCATACTTCTGTGTCTCCACCCAGCATGTGCAGGTTCGCAAGCAGAAGCGAGGGTTGCAGCCCACGCCACCAGGGCTGCGGGAGGCATCTGTTCTACTGCTTCTTGTCTCCCAGCTTCGATGCCGAAGCCAGGTGGCTTCCCAACTTCTGTCAAGACTCGTCAGCCTCTCAATGTGCCTAATACGCGCAGTGCCAAACGTGCATTTCAGAGAGCTTGTAATCGTGCTACCCGATATGGACACACCCAGTACCGAGGCCGAACCTTTACCTCGGCACAGGTCCCCTTGGACCGTCGTCAGGCCATGCCCACGCCTTGCTTCCCTAGAACCAGAAAGCACACTCCCCCGGAGGGACTCACTGTGCTCTCATGGAATGCTGGAGGCCTTGGGGGGGGTGTCTACGATGAAATCATGACTCATTTGAGTGCCTCGAACATTGACATTGCAGTCATTCAAGAGAGTAAATGGAGTGAGTGCATGGAATACACCAGCGGAGCCTGGTCCTGCATCCATAGCGGCTGCAAAACCCACAAGCATGCTGGTATCTTGGTTGCCGTACACTCTCGTGTTGCAATGCCTTCGCAACTTCGCTTCGAGCATTATCTCAAAGGCAGACTTCTACACGTACGAGTCCCCCTCCAAACGTCGGACAGCAGGCACCTCCATGTCATAGCCATCTATCAGAAGACTCATGTGGTCAGTGACAAAAACACTCCGGTGCAACGACAACAGGCTTGGCAAGCTCTTCACAAGTGCCTCAGTCGCGTGCCAGCCCGAGACTCAATAGTGCTGACGGGGGACTTTAATACGCCCTTGGCGTGCTTGCCGCCTTATGTTGGCCCCTTTGTCGGGGCACCACTGAGTCATCCGCCGGATGACGTCTCGAGCCTGGAGGTTCTGATGCAAACCTTTCGCCTCACGGCATTGAACACCTGGTACCCCAACCCGGGAGGAGTACATACTTTCTCCTTTGGCAAGGCCAAATCACAGATTGATTATATCATGGTGAGGCTTAGTGAGGCCAGCACATCGGCCCGTCAGGTACGAACCATGCATCAATTCCAGGTGGGCGCTGCCCGCAAAGGCGGGGCTTACCACTCACCACTACAGACAACACTGGCTGTTTCAAGACCCTACTGGGTGCACACAGGCCACCGCCCGGTGCCCTGCATTGATCAGGAGGCTCTTCTGAGTGCCCTTGACCACCCTAATAAGGCCGATAACCTGCAGAAAATTGCCGAGATCAGGCGAGCGGTTGCCACTCATGTCGCTCATCACTCTGACCTTCGAGGCGTCCAGGCCCTACATCAAGTCCTTCATGATGCCTGCTGCAATGTTTTCCCCGCAAGTAGAGCCTCGACGACCACTCGTGCTCCACCTTGGCAGCAACCTCAGGTCCAAGCTGGTATCCGCAACCTCTGGTACAAATGGCGTGCCTTCAAACAGGTCCGCAAGCATGGCCTTAGAGGATGGTTTCAGGCTTGGAGAGCTTGGAAAGACTTTGACTGGCACTACAGAGCACATCAAAAACGTTGCAAACAGGCCAGGCGTGCTATACTGCTGCAGGCCATGCATGAAGCCGAGCAACATGCCAAGGTCCACAACTCGAGAGGCATCTATCAGATCCTCAAACGCCTTGCACCGAAACAGGCCCGGCGTCGTATGCAGCTTCGCGGTGCTGAAGGACAAATGCTTGAGCCATGCGCTGAGCTGGATCTTCTTGAGCAGCACTTTTCTCGGCGATTCACTGCCACCCAACAGGCCGATGTTGATCTGGCCTCCCACACCTGGGAGGGCCAAGGCGACCTTGTACTGGATGTTACCACAGTCTGCCGGTACATACAGCAGGTTCCACGTCGGAAAGCTGTGCCGCAAGGGCACCCTCCCAGTGCCTCCTGGCGCATGTGTGCCGACCTGATCTCACCTTGGCTCTGCAAAGTTGTCCTTGATGCGTGGTCCACTCCTCACCTCGAGGTGCCCAGGGCCTGGACGGATGTTGACCTGGCCTTAGTTCCCAAGCCAGATAAACCAGGTCGTGAGCCCAAAGACTACAGACCTATTGGTCTGGCCTGTCCCTTAGGTAAAAAGTTCCTGGGAGCTCTCTTGCAGCCATATGTGCCGGGCATTGTTGAGCAGATTAAGACCTTCCCTCAGTTTGCCTACCAGCAAGGCAGATCGCAATTCTCGGCTCTCAGACGTGTATATCAGCACTGTGCGGCCGTGCGAACACAGCTCCAGACCCACACTCGGAACTTGCATCAGCGGTTTGCAGGAACAAAGCCTGTTCCCTTATATGGTGCTCTCATGATTACGGTCGATCTTGCCCAGGCTTTTGATCGAATGCCCAGAACCAAGCTCTACCAGGGCTTGTGTCGCCTTGGCCTCCCTCAGGACCTCACACACGTCCTCATGGCATGGCACTCAACTATCCACTACCGCATTCACCACCATCAGGACACAAGGACCTTCCATGCCTCACAAGGCATTCGACAAGGATGCTCTGTAGCGCCCCTACTATGGCTGATCTTCTCCCACGAAGTTAGCTGTGCACTCGCTGACAAGCTTGGAGCAGCCACGGTTCTCAGGGTCCTGACTATCTTTGCGGATGACTATCATTTGGCAGACTCCTTCACCTCCATGGCGGAGCTTGAGGCCCTGCTGGATGTCATTACAGTTCTCTTTAGGACCCTCGAAACCTTTGGTATGGAGGTCTCTGACCAGAAATCCAAGGCGATAATGGTCCTCCGAGGCACCCTCAGCAATACGGTCAGGCGCAAGTTCGTGCGATCATCCCCCCAAGGAGATGGATCAGAGCTCCGCATTCACACACGAGGTGGTGCCCTCAATATCCCGCTAACTGACTGCTTCACTTACCTTGGGGCCCGTGTGAGCTATGCGAACTTTGAGAGACAGACTCTTGACTGGCGACTCACCAAAGGTGAAGCAGCATTCCAGCGCCTAGGCACGGTGCTAAAAGGCCAACATCACCTCACAGTTTCACAGCGTCTGCGCCTCTGGCGATCATGCGTGTGGACGACAACCCAGTATGGGTTAACAGCATCAGGCTTGACACCCTGGGGCACTCGTGTTCTCGAGACCTTTGTGGTGCGGCAGCTCAGGGCCATCTTGAAGCTACCAGCACACCTCACGCATACCACCAATGCTCAGGTGTGTGCTGCTGCAGGTATCCCCTTGCCGACTCAGATGCTACGACACCTGCTTCAAGCCGAAGGCGATCGAATTTCTCAAGCTCCTCTGGACCCCCTGGTCTGTTCCCCAGCTCAAGACTGGTGGCAGCATCTTGTCACCACCTTTGCCCCGCAGGTCACAGCCAGCATCCTTGCACTTGACCCCAGCCAGTGTGATGCTCAGTCCTGCCCTCATTGTGGTGTGACGTATCACACACGGGCTGCTCTCAAAACACACATAGCCAAACAACATAAAGATGCAACAGAGGTCGAGGCTGAGCGGCCGAGGCTCAGCTTCTCCAGGCAACTAGACTCGAGCGGTGGCCTGCCACAGTGCAAACACTGCGAAAAACAGTTTCCGACATGGCAGCTTCTCGAAAGACATATCACTGGAGGCCACTGTTCAATCAAGCTGCATGTGACACCGGAGCAGGCTGTATCATCATCGCTTGATCAAGGCCCCTGTGTAGTTGCGGACACCAAGCTTGCACACCACCCTGACATCATACAAGCCCTCAAACAGCATCGAGTTAACATAGTACTGCACTTGTCGGATAGACATAAGTACTTGCAGAGGTGTCTTTTCTGTGGCCAGTGGCTTGCCTCCTCTGCGGTAATCAAGACACACTACAAGGGCAGTCACCCTCAAATCTTTGCTCGCACTGCTAAAGCCACCCGACTCTGCAGTACATTCTCCAGTGCCGGCTCCCCCTGCCTGTATTGTGGTGTCAAGACTAAGCAGCCCCGACACCATAAACTGCAGTGCTCGGTTCTCTGGCAGTTCTGCCTTCTGGTCACATATCACTTGCCTGCGCCGCCCAGTGACCCAACCATTTCTATTGAGAATGGCGGAGGAGATGAATCCCGAGCAGGAGCATCGGGAGCTCTTCGGACCCCTGGTGACGAGCCAGGCTGCAGCATTCGGGACCGCTCTGTTGGACTCAGGCAGCTCCGCCTCGGACAGAGTACCCAACAAGGCTCCAAGGCTGGACAATGGCAAGAGGGGCAGAACTCCTGGAAGCAGTCAGCCCTCCCATCCCTTTGGGCCAGGAGGGCATCGCCCGAGGGGGGGGCCGAAAGGGGACAAGCAACAGTCCCTTGTCAAAGCCATGGCCAGGCTTGTGCTACGTCAAGAGACCAACCTGCAGGTGCTGAAGCAGAACTCGGCTTGGGATGTCTACCTGCAGCCGGGGCCGCAAGGACCGCTGCCCATGCTGTTCCGAGCCTCGGAAACATATCGCTCCGAAGCCAAGTCCAGAAGGATGGACTGCCCGCTTCGGGCCCAGTTGCTTCACACCCTGTTCCAGACGGTGCTGACTTGCATTCAGAATATCAAGGACAGTGCAGCACAGACCCAGGCGGCACAGCAAAGGGGTTGGCTGACCCCGGAGGGACGTTGGGTGTACCAACAATGGGATCCACAAGCCCAGGCCTTGATCGTGGACGGGAACTGCCCTCCTCTCGAGAATCAGGAATTGCTTACCCTGCTCCATGCCATGGCCCAGGCTGTTCTACGAAAGGATGTGGTCCATCGATTCAACGCTACGCACCAGCTGGCAGCAGACCCCAGGGGCACGACTCGCTTCATGCTGGAGATTGGGCTCCGGGCCGACGGCGTGATGGATGTCTGGAAAGGTTTGGAAGCCCTTCAGGGGCTTGCAGCCCTGCAAATCGTGGGGATGCAGCTGAGGAGAGATGGACTTCGACGATCCAATTTGGCGGAGGACATTCAGCGGATGCTGGGCGAACTCTAGGCCTGATCCTCAACAACCCTACACAACATTGCTATATAAACTCTTTCGTACTGGCCTGGCTGTGGGCCTTTGGCCTTTTCGAGGCGCCGGAGGCTCAATTCTTTGGGGAACATGTGCAGGCGTGGCGAGATGTTCTTTACAGTCATGCTCCCATCACTGTATATCGCTTGGCTTCATGGACACGGCTGTTCAGGGGTTGGCATGCGCCGGCATCTCAACACGATGCCGCAGACTTCATTACCCACTTGATGCGTCGTATGCAGCCTTTGGCCTTGCAAGGTGAGTGGCAGTCGCGTTTAGGGAAGAGCGGGGAGCTGGCCAATGTCATCGACTCAGGTTCATTGCTCTCACCCATTGTCCTGCATCTGCTGGGAGATGGACAGGAGGATGATCTGCAAAGTTGCATCCACCGCTGGCATCAACAGGCCTACAGACATGGACTGAAAGAAGCTTATCCTGTGATTATGGTTCAATTGGCCAGATACAACTACGGGGAAGCTGGGGCGAGCAAAGACCGCACTGGGGTAGCGGTCCCGCGAAGACTTCTTTTGCCAATTTTTGGTCGCGGCCTCAAAACCTTTCAGGCAACTTATACAGTGTGTTCTATCATCATTCATCATGGAATCAATCCCAGCGCCGGTCACTACACTTCGCTGCTACTGGAGCCGGGCGCCCTGCCCAGGAGCAAGCTTTGGGGAACGGATGATGGAAAAGTGGCGAAACCTTATGGCCGCTTCCCCAAATGCGTCGAGCGAGATGCTTATATCTTTGTGCTCGCCAGATGCAGGTTTCCGGCTTCGATGGGTTCCAGCTCATAGCTTGGCAACAGTTCCAAGCTATGGCCGACTAGTTTTCCTCATACGATTGGGTTCGTACGATCCTCAGACTGAGGCACCTGCGGACATTCGTGTCGAGGTACTGACACGGGGCTCATAAAAATTATGAGTGTGCTCGCTGAGCACCGGCACAAAGTGCTGCCATCGTTGGGACGCCGAGCGGACACATTCGCTGCGAGGGAGAGAGAGAGAGTAGTAGTAGTAGTAGTAGTAGTAGTAGTAGTAGTAGTAGTAGTAGTAGTAGTAGTAGTAGTAGTAGAAGTAGTAGTAGTAAAGGTAGTAGTAGTAGTAGTAGTGGTAATAGTAGTAGTAGTAGTAGTAGTA